AGCCTTTTATCTGTATTCCTATTTGTAACAATTAAAGCAGACAGCGTGAATGCCCTAATTTAACACTTTCTGAGCAGTGGAGAGCCAGTGAAGAGCCAGAGACAGGAGGGAATTGAAATCCTAGCAAAGACTCTGGACTCTGTCCACTCAACAACCTGTAAGATTGCTTAACAACTGGAACTGGGAGTTCCAAAATTTTGTTTATTAGATTTTTATCCTGCCTTTACTACTTTATAAGTAAATCAGGGTACTGAACATACATACAGTATTACTCCTTCCTTCCTCCTCCTGATCACCCCACAACAACAAACCTGTGAGATGGATTGGGCTTAGAAAGAGTGATGACCCAAAGTCATCCAATCAACTTTCCACCTAAGGCAGGACTAGATTTCACAGTCTTCTGGTTTCAAGGCCAGCCCCTTAACCACTACACCTTGCACTCTGCCGGCACAACTGATCTTTAGTACCACCTCAACTGATCTTTGCTGTCTCTTTCTCCTGCTGTTGACAAGGCATGCCTGGCCTGGCTGCTGAACTAGGTTCATGCTGCACTGAAAGCAGCCCCCTGAGACGCAGCACAGAACTCAGCCCCAGCCCAGCCCAGGACCATGCAGCCCCCTCAGCCCAGTTCTAGCCACATTCTCATGAGGAAACTCATGCATGACCGGGGAAGAAAATCTAATGTGGCTAATAGCTGCCTCAGGAAGAGCCAAGCCAGCCATGTCCTATCAGCAGCAGAAGCAAGAAGACAGCAAAAGTCAGCTGGGGTAGTAGAATATAGCCCCCACCCGGGCCCTAGAAGGGCATAGATCGTGGGGACATAGGTGGGTGGGTAGAGTTAAAGCCTCCTGCGTCATAAATATAAGCAGTCTGCCAAGCATCTGAACTTTGATCATGTGACAAAGGGGGTGCTGCAATGGCCATAATCTTGGGCACCAATGATAAGTCCCTTTGTTCAGCACTATCTTATCTTTAAACAGTTGTTGAATTCATGGCCATAAATCGAGGACTACTTGTACTGTAACCTTATTCTTTGCAATTCTTTTATTTCTTAAATTTTCTAAGGTTGTATTTTGCAGACAAAATATTTGAATTAATTTCCTTCTCTTTAACTGTTGTTCACGGATTTTCCTTTGGGCAGGATCTGTTTTATTTTTAAGAGAAGGTCTGAGCTATTTTCCATTCTAGTGTAGCAAAATAAAAACACTGACAAATAGACAAAAACCTTGATAGTTTGTTTTATTTTTCTGGTCTATAACTATGTTGGAATCCATAATCACTTCTTTAAAAACAGAATGTGGAAACAGGGACAATTAAAATTATAAAATTTACTGGAAAGGGCAGTTAGGTCTGAGTAGTAAATTATTATTTTGCATGGCACTTAGCAAAACCTTTGTAATTTTAGTTCCAAATAACCTGAATGTTTTATTGATTTATTTATGATTTCTTTAATTTTATTTCCTGTTCTCAGTATCCTTACTATAATGTATTTACAGGTTTCTATTTTTATTCATATTTTTAAACATGATTATTTTTAAACAATTCATATATTTGTGTGGCCTATACTCATTTTATTGTAAATTGGCTACATAAATAGGACAATGGAAAAAATGGCTTTTTATATTGTGCATGATAGATATTAATTACTCATATATCTGGAATGCCGGACAGAGGGAAAAGGAAGAATACCTTCATTTTTATTATATTTTCACCAAGAATCTTTAAAAATTCATCAATACAAATATCAAGTTAATATTTTCTAACTGTTGGGTAGATTTGTTTTAATTTGACATTGTGATATTTTCATTTTTAATTGATTTTTCAATTGTAATTAGAGATATATTATCTGAATATTAGTATCTGATACTTTGAACATAACTTTAAATGGTGAGAGGGATATACTAACAATTAATTGGGTTTATAAACCCAAAAGTTGCAATATATTTCTTTTGTCCATCTTCCTGCAAAGTTTTGTGTAACCTATCTTTGTCAGGTTGAGCACAGCTATCTTTACATGGCATGGGCTGATGACTTCCAATCTTCCTATCTCCAATAGGCTTTTTACATTTTAGGGATTAAAAAGGGTTAAAGAAGGGAGGGAAAAAGTAAAACGGCTGCTACTTGATAGAAAAAAGGGTGGGACTCATAATTCTGTTCTTTCTGTCTGTCAGTCTTCTCTTTTTCTTATTTTTCCTTTACTTTTTTATAATTTTATTGTATTCAAACATTCTAATAATACATTTGTTTTTAAGAAAAAGCTTCTTTAGTGGGTAAATTACATCAGTTTAACTGGTTAAAATCACTTTTGAAACAAACCTGCAATAAAGAGATAATGTTCCATATGATGCACCAAATAGTGAAAGATTAGTGAGATATAATTGTATCAAGCCCTTGCCCTCAAAAGCTTGTTTCTGTTTCAACATTCCCTTATAAATTCTTTGCCAATAAGCATTACTACTGAAGAATCACTAGTGGTGGATATCTGAGACACCATGAATAACCTTTTAAATGCGCTCAGCCATGATTACCAGTCACTGAACCATTTATTTCATCTGTAGTCAAAAAAAGTCATAACTTGTACAAGATTTTCACTGAAGGTAGAGAATAGTAGAGATGTTCTCATTGAGCTCACGCACCAGATTCCTTTACTGTTTCATAATAAGATTTTTTTCAATTCCTTAATCACTATCCTTTGCAAATCAGCCAGATGGCTTACTTGATGCATTAAAATAAAGACTCTTGACCAGTATGAGAGACCAAGGTGACATGAGAATGGCTATCAGTTGCTCTCTTAGCCCCTTCACTGATTGAGATATATGGTTTTTGTCCATAAAAACTCAGAGGTTTTTTGTCTATAGGAAATTTTTGACAGATAAAGGTAAATATCCTGTGAATGATGTGCTTCATTTTGTTCCTGATAATATTTTATTTTATGATAATCTATATTTTCCTGATTGTATCTTTGAAAAAAAATGATCAAATTTGTGAGGTTCTCTGTTTTCTTTTCCTATTATTTTCTCAGTTTTTGCTACCAGTGTATTATTCTTATACTGCTCGAAGTAGCAGTTGTTTGAAACTAAACTAGCTGGCTTTTCTCACTGCTAAATTTTTAATTGAATTCCTCACAACAGAACATTTATAACTTAGTGATTTTTTTTGCACCAATATTCTATTAACCATATTTTGCTATCAATGATCTAGCATTTTGTATTTTCTTGGTCAGCTGTGGTTATTCAATAAACGAATCATACCTTAAAGTGATGTCAGAATACAGCCATCATTTATAATTGACATACTTCTTATCATTTCTGTTATATGTAAGCAAAATTACCGAGGTTAAGTAGTACACTGTATATGCTTGTGTAGGTATATGCATGGAAGCTTCCTATTCTGTCCTGAAACCCAACCTGCCCTCTTCCCAATGATTGGAGGATCTAGTCAGTCAGAGTATAACTATTAAGATCCCTGAGAGGACATTGAGTCACCTGTAGACAAATTGATGTTGGTGTTGGTATATTGATGGCCCATCAATTCAGGACACAGGCAAAAATGTCAGACTTGTTCAATGCATCTACATCGCTGCTAATAATTGTATGCTGGGCTACATAACAAGTATAACTCCAAGTTCTGAAGAAAAGTTATAATTCACTTTGTGCTGAAAATATTTTTAATTACTATTACTGTAAAACATTTTCTCTACTTAACCTGTTTAGGCTTCAAAAGAAATTTGCTTTTGAAATGTCTGATTTCAATAATTCAAAATCTTTACTAACCTGGGAACAAACTTCTAATTGAAAAGTGCTGATGGAGGAAATTCATCTGCCTTTTATTTAACAGTGCCTAAATTTGAACTCTGATTATCGTAGTTTTGTCTTTTTTTTTAAAAGGAACTCTAAGCAATAAGAACAAATGAAAGAAATTGCTTGAAAGAAATAGAGATGCTTCTTCCATTCAGATCTCCCATAATAAATAGAAGGAGATCTAATTTAAAGTGCCTTTGTTACAAATAATGGATTTAGCAGAGGGGCTACACTCAGGTATTTGTAAGTGATCAAAGGAAAAATAAGACTCCTTCAGCACAACATGTTTCAACAGAGAGTGTTCTTTGTAAATAGTGACCTGTATGATCAGTTCTAGGACTCTTAACTGTCATGTGACTTTACTATATTGCAATTTAAGTGCAAGTAATATCATTAATTTTACATTTTATATAGAGCTTTTAATTGTTTAATAAGATTGCTTCACAACTTTTCAGCATTGTTGTAAGATAAAGCCATCTTATCCTCATCTTTCAAAAATAGGTATGTAGAAGGGATAAGTATCACAGCACATGATTATGTAGAAAACTCAGTGCCCAGCAAATGTTTAAATATTACATGTCAGGTCTATACTTGTCTTGAATCTAAATAAAGTTTGAGCTAATGTATTAGGTTACATTGATGAACCTTTCTAGATACAATATATCAGTACATTAAATTCCCATTAGCATATTTTAGTTCTTCCAGCTCTTTAGCACCTGAAATAAAGTCTCATTGAATTATACAAAATTCATTCCTTAATAAATACACATTGATTTTATTACATTTCTTTTTTAGTTCTGAGTAAAACAATTTCATTTTGCTAGAAGCTCTGTGATTCTGCACTAGTTTACCGTCCATAGTTTAGTTATCACACAACAGTGTCCCCTAAAATCACCCAATGCTGAATAGATGGAATACAGCTTTCCCCAAAGAACCTCTCCTATTGATACAAAAGAAGAATTTTATTACATATGAATTTTATTGCATAAAATTACATTTTACTGGGGAATGATGGTTATATCACAATTTATGTGACTGAACTGTTAGTAGAGAAAAGCAGTCCATCCTACAATAAGAATAGCATGGTATAGGTTGTTCAGAATCATCACATTTAGAGTTCTTATTTTTCTGAAAAATAGATTGCTTCTTTGCTATCTTGTGAATATTTCAAGAGTTTCATTAATACTATATTTTTTCCAGGTTTTATTTCTTTTCATAAAATCTTTAAGGCACCGAGGAATTGTCACAAACATTGCCATGAAACCCAATCTGAAACAATGGAAACAAGTAATGCTGTTTGGAATATTTGCCTGGGGGCTCCTGTTCCTATTTATCTTCATATATTTCACAGATAGCAACACCACAGATGCAGTTCCTAGTTCCTTCTCATATGTTGAGACTAAAAGACTCTTGCCTATTCAAGGCAAACAGAGGGTTATCATGGGAGCAATTCACGACACACCCTTCTCCGAAACAGTCAATGAGATGCTCTTTAAGAAAGATGTCTTAGATTCATTTAAGTCAGAGACTGGGAATATTAAAAAGTGGACTGGCTTAGATAACAGTTTTGAAAGTGAAGAATTTTTTCCTTCTCAGTTAAGAAGAAAATCCAAAAGCAATTTTCATCAGAGGAGCGGTGATTATTTATTTGCTGCTGGTCAGCCTCAGTTATCAAATAATGTTCAGCGAATAGTGAAATTAAACTCTGCACAGGGAGAGGTTCAGAAGAGGAATATTTTACAGAATACTTGGTTCCCTCAAAAGAAGATAAAGAAAAGACACATAAATCACAGAAGAAGAGAACTAGTTGAAGAGTCTCATGAATGGAATGAAATCTATTCCACAATGTCAAAATCGTTCCTGTTCAGGCTTTGGCGGGGGGATGTCTCCTCCAAGATGCTGAATCCTCGCCTTCAGAAAGCAATGAAAGATTACTTGAATGCCAATAAGCATGGGGTGAAATTCAGAGGGAAGCAAAACTCCCAACTGACTTCAGAACAGCTCTTCTGTGAGCTAAAGGCACATGCAAACATCAGAACCATTGATGGCGAGGAAGCTCCTTTTTCAGTCCTTGGTTGGAAAAAACACGTCCCTCAAACCTCACTGAATAAATTATATCCTCGTGGATTTGGAAGCTGTGCTGTCGTAATGTCTGCTGGTGCCATACTGAACTCTTCTCTGGGGCATGAAATAGGTGGGTAAAGATGTTTAATTTATTTGAACTCTGGTATGTAGCTGAAATTCAGATAACCACGTGTGGGCTATTTCTGTATTCTTTGGCCTTTATAAGATAAGGCAAAAGAAGCACTGGGTTAGACCAAAGATCTAAGACAACATCCTATTTTCTATAGAGGCAACCATATTCTTTTTCTGGGATTAAACAGAACAGCATTTTGTAGCAATCTTCCCATATTGCTATTCTCCAGCAATGTCACTATAGCAAGGAGATTTTCAGTCATCCATATCATAGTTGTCTCAAAAGTATATTTTTCTTCAAAAGACTACTGAACTGTTTTTTCCTTGAGGAGGAAGAAGAAAACATTTTGCTTCTCATCCAAGAAGCTTCATTCCTGCCATCAGAACTGATTAAGCTTCTTAGATAAGAAGCAAAACATTTTCTTCATCTTCCTCAAGGAAAAAAACAGTTCAGTTGCCTTTTGAAGAAAAAAAACTCCTTTGAGACACACTACCTTTGGTTCTCCCAGTAATATAATTTAATAATCTTTGTATCATATTGTACAGTAACAATAAGCAACTGAAGTAGCAAAACCTCCCTCCCTTCCCCTCCATTTTGGTGTTCCTCTCCAATTTTCAAAATGGCTATGGGTTTGGTTGGGTTTGTTTTTACTGAATTGTATCTTATTTTTCTATAGAAAGTTTTGAAAAATGTTAATTAGCTAACATCAGAAGTTGACAGATGAAAAAGTAATGAATTAATTCCCCTGACTAATAAACTCATGTGGCCACAGAACATCTACAAGACAAAATGCTTAAGCAACATTTCATGTGCAACCTCAATAAGACATTTATCCTGTACTTCAGATATGAAAAATGCTCTTTATAAATGCAAAATAAATCATGCAGAACTAAAATATGAACACTTTTCTTTAGGAATAATGCAAATCTATGTCTATATCCACTAAGAAGTATGCAAAATTTGAAGTACTCTAAACCATGTGGTGCAGGCAGTCTTCCATTCACCCCTTGCCACATGTTCTTCAAGACAGAGAGAGAGAGAAGAGTTTCTCTATTATTAATCCCACAAATACTAAGTTGTTCTATGTACTTAAATATGTTTTCTTATTTTTAAATTTAACTATCATTCTTTATATTAATACTTGTTATTGTTTTCTCAAAAACTAAAATGTTTGTGAGCATTATCCAGTTACTTCAGTAGGCATCTCTGTTCAGTCTAAGAGCCATGCTGTCTTAGCACTGAAAGTCAAAACTGGGTAATATCAAATATTAAGGGAAGTCCTACTGGTTTGAAAAATAAAATAGTGTAACCGTTTTCCCCTTTTCTCACAGTGTGCTGCTGCTAATAATAAAACAATTCAAGTTATAGATTTTTTACAATGATAGTTGCTCACTGTCTCATTTGTATATCCCTACTCCTAGGAGATTTATTGAATATACATTAATTAAAACATTTTCTAAGCCAAGTTTAGTTTTAAGGGTTTTGAAAGAACAATGACAATTTATTATATAAATATGTGTACCACTTTTTCCACTAATCTTTGTCATTTAAACAGAATTAACAGTTTTGTCCCAAGCATAACCTTCCTGGAAACTTTCTATTTAGTATGTTTACTATATTATGACTCATCCTTTATTGAAAATGTTTCTCTTTCCTCTGTGGTGATACACATTTCCTTCTCTTCAAAATATTCATTAAACATCCTTATATATATATGCAAATAAAGTTACCAGCTTGCATATGGAAGAGATCATCTTGACTAATACTTGGCTGAAAAAAATTCTTCCAATTTCCTGAAAGTTTTCTTCCTCTGGAAAAAAAATGCTTCTATCTTGTATCGCTCTCTCAGATTTATGAGAATTTATCAGATTTATGAGAATTTATTTTAGTGATGCTTATTAGGTTTGTTTATTTTTGTGAAGCAGTGGAGGGTACTATGTATCATCCTGTATCTCTCTTATCATTCTGTGGCCCCCCTGACTGTCTCCTTGATCTGAGAAATCCCCATGTGGGGAGTTGCCTCTTAATGTCTTTCTCTGAGATGTTTTTGAAACAGGGGGATTAGAGAGGCTGCAAACTACAGAAGAGATCATTTATCATTGGGACATTCCAACACAACTTCAGAAGCAATTTCTTTCCCATTAATTTAGTAAGATTACAGATAGTTCTTGACTTAGGACCACAACTGGGAACAGAATTTTCATTGCTAAGCAAGATGTTTATTAAGTGAGTTGCACCCAATTTTATAATCTTTTTTGCTACAAGCAAATCACTATAGCTCCTAAGTGAATCATGCAATCATTAAGCAAATCTGGCTTATACTTGCCTGTTATCAACATTCAAACTTTGATCACATGACTGGGCATTGTGTAGTGGTGATAAACCTGAGTTGTAAGTCACTTTTTTCAGTGCCGTTGTAAATTTGAACAGTCACTAAATGAATGATTGTAAATCGAGGACTAGCTGTAGTAAACATCTTTCAAAGAAAGCCTTAACCATAGTAATATCTGAGAAATAGACATACTATGGATAGTACGTAGTCTTAATCTAAAATAAATAGGATTGGAAGTGTATATCTTGATGTGATTATTTTCCCATAATTGCAAATGCATGTATTCACTATGGGAATACATGTGTTCTATTTTTGTAGTTATTTTACTATGCCTGCTGGGCTTCTTATGGGATCTGTGGATACAGGAAGTTCAGCTTCCAGTCAGATTTTCCTGTTGCATTTATCATGAGCTAACTATGTGTATGTGTGTATATGAAACAATGATAATTTTGCAAACAAATGTTAGTTATAAAACTCATGCTATCATATCTAATTCCTGGCAACCCATATTCTTCTGTTCTCTTCTTCTATTTTGCCTGTACGCCCCCCTCTTAAAATAGCGTTCTGTCATTCCAGGCCTAATGTTTCACTCATTACCTGCTCTGGAGAGTTTCACTTATATACCTCTAGGCTGATAATGATAGCAATAATAATAGTAGTACATATAATTTTATCTGCCATGTTTCAGATATTTAAAGCATATTTGTGATACATTTATTTCAGCAAATAATGAGATAAGCTGCAAAATATTTAAGATGGATTCCTCTAATGGTAATCCATACAATACTCACTTCTTTCATATTTCTCTTTTCTTCATGAACTATCACCCCTTTTGTTCCTTTGTTGTCTCAGTGTTAATTCTTTACTGTTTTTCTACATTGGGCCACTGTTCGTTTCTTTTCACCTTTAGTTACTGAGAAAGGAATGCACAAAGAAAAAGGACAAATGTGTTATTTCTTAGTACATATATATTTTACATTCTTGCCTGTACATATGTTACTTCTGCTAATGCTCACTTTATTGCTTATTTAAGGTATCCTGCTTTATATCACATCAGATCTCATGGGGGCATAGACAGGTTCAAACCTTACAGTTTTAATATGCAATTTTTTACCATATTTGTGTTGGTATTTATAAGAAAAGGCCCTCTACTTTACTAATTTTTCTCACATTTTGTGGGAGAGGAAAAGATGAATGATAGGTGACAAAGCATGAAAGAAAGGACATAGAAGTGGAAAATACTATCATCTGGACCTCCTACAAAATACCATGAATGAGACAGCATGATGATAGAGCAAAAATATTTTTTGAAAACTCCCTGTATCTCACAGTGGAACTGTCAGCCCTTCAAAGTACTCCAGACAAGAAATCAGTACTATCAGTATTAACACTACTACCTTACTATTGCCCTGACTTTGGCTCTTTCTCTTCCTGTCTCCCAATTACAGGAACATTCTTTTTCCTGACAGCTACATTAGATTGATCTGGTGCCATCAAGCCACTGACAACCCTTAGTGATCACATAGATTTTTCTCAAGGAGAATCTGGTTCCAGCTTGGTCTTTTAGTTCTTACAATGGTGCACCCATTGTCGCTATAATCGAGTCAACTCAACTTGCTGCTGCATGTCCTCTTCTCTTTCCTTCAACCTTTCCCAGTATTACAGACTTTTCAGATACTATTCAATCTAACCAACACATATAATGTAAAATTTCAGGCCAGTACAGAATTCTATCACAGCAGAATAGCAGAATGCTGTATGGATAACTGAATTATATCTGATGATGAAATGAACATTGCCAAGATATATTCACACTGTCTTATAATCTAAATGTTAGCATAGTAATTCAAGGCATCGCAAAAATGATAAATATACAAGATACATAAAAATATCCAAAGTATATAAACTTTAGAAAGTTCATTACAACTCAATATCTCCTCAGAGCATAGCTTTTAAAACAATAGTGAAAAAGGAAACAATAAGTGTAACTAGATGATGATAATAATAATAGTAATAATAATAATAATAATAATAATAAAAGTTGGAAGGGACCTTGGAGGTCATCGAGTCCAACCCCCTGCTCAGGCAGGAACCCCACACCATTTCAGACAAATGGCTGTCCAGTCTCTTCTTAAAAACTTCCAGTGTTGGAGCATTCACCGCTTCTGGAAGCAGGTTGTTCCATTGGTTAATTGTTTTAACTGTCAGCAAGTTTCTCCTTAGTTCTAAGTTGCTTCTCTCCATGATCAGTTTCCATCCGTTGCTTTTCGTCCTGCCTTCAGGCACCTTGGAGAATAGCTTGACTCCCTCTTCTTTGTGGCAGCTCCTGAGATATTGGAACACTGCTATCATGTCCCCCCTCGTCCTTCTCTTCATTAAGCTAGACCACAGGTCGGCAACCTGCGGCTCCGGAGCCGCATGCGGCTCTTTGAGCCTTCCCTGTGGCTCCCAGCCTCCTCTGCCTTTGCAGAGAGAGACATAGACAGAGAGAGGCAATTGCACTTCCCTGCTTCTCTCTCTCTCTCTCTGTGTGTATCTCTGTGTGTGTGGGTGGGTGTTTTGTGTGTGTCTGTGTGTATGTGTAAAAGAGAGTGCGCTCACAGTGTTCTCCGAGGAGCTCAAAAGCTTTCTGGGCGGAGCTCCTCCCTTTGCTGCGTCTCTGAAGGAAGCAGGAAGCAGGAAGGGCAGGAGAGAGCTAGCTAGCCCAGCTAGGCTGACTCAGGAATTCTGGGAGTTGAAGTCCATGAGTCATAAAAGAGACGAGGTTGCCTACCCCGGAGGTTGTTGGACAACAGCTTGAAGCTTGCCAGGTGAGCAGCAGATAGGAGGGGGGGGGGAGAAAGAGAGAGAGAGAAAGAGAGAGAGAGGGAGAGAGAGAGAGTGGGGGAAGAGGAGTGGCAGACCAAGGGCAGATAGAGAGGGAGGGAGAGAGAGACCCTTTTGACATCTAAAATGAAGATAACACTGCATATATCCTTTTTTTACCTGTGTGTGTATGTAATTTTATTCTCTTAAAGCATTCTCTTGGTGATCATTGTTTTAATAGTATGGATATTCCCAAGAGTCATATTTTTACTTTTATTTTTAATGTGTATATGTGTGCGTGTGTCTGTGTATGTGTGTGTATACACACACATATACACATACACATACACACAAACACACACACACACACACACACACACACACACCTATAATAAAGGTAAAAAAGGATAGATGCAGTGTTATCTTCATTTTAGATATCAAAAGGGTTTTGCGGCTCCCAGTGTTTTGTTTTTGGTGGGAAACGGGTCCAAGTGGCTCTTTGAGTGTTTTGGGTTGCCTACCCCTGAGCTAGACATACCCAATTCCAGCAACCATTCCTTATATGTTTTAGCCTCCAGTCCCCTAATCATTTATTGTCTCTTCGCAAAAACAATTATATATGACAATAGAACCATATTTTCATGGATTCTTAATTTTTCTGTTCTAATTTCAAAAGCTTAATGAAATTTCTATTTACATAGACTGTTCACATTTCCATATTAATTTTAAAAGCTTAAATATTTGTCTTGGCTTAGATTGTTCTTTGTACTAAGTCTGAGAGAATTTAAATATTAAAGTAAAATATAATAGAAAATGACCAGTGTGGTGGCTTAAAGGTAGAACTCTCACCTCACAATCATGAGGCTATGAGTTCGATCCTAGGTAGCAGTAGATATCTGCTGTGAGCTCCACACAGGTATCAGGAAGGGCATCTGGCCAGTAAATGCTCAGCTCCATTCAATCGCCCTGATCCCATCCTGATGCAAGGAATTAGACACTTGTTAAAAGAAAAAAAAGTGGAATACAATAGAAACTAATACCTGCAGATCAATTGATACCTGCAGATCAAGCATGTATACTAGCATCTATTTAGAACATAGTGGTATCTACCTTTAAATAAGCATCTGTATGATTGCACATGTATAAAACCCCAAATAAATGTAACTTTTTTCACACTAGATTCTCATGATGCAGTTCTGAGATTCAATTCTGCTCCAACAAAAGGCTATGAAAAAGATGTTGGAAATAAAACCACAATGCGCATCATTAATTCCCAGGTAAATCTGTTGAAGATCCATAAATATATATTATTTTCTAGGAGATATTGACTTTTTGTAAGCAATATGAAATTTAATAAACACATTTCTAAATGTTTACATGTATCTCCATCCATATACTCAAGAGAATTTCTTTAACTATTCTACAACATAATTTTATTTATTAATCAAAAATGGATTGCTGCTCTTAGATAGTTGATAATCATCAGTCAGCATGCCTATTAGCTTCAGTGTAAAATTCTGTTAGGATTGTAAATAATAAACTCCTAGCTTCATAATATGTAGGACATTTTTTTAATTTTATATCCTAAGGATCACATTAAAAAAATAGGAGAGGAAAATAAACAGGAAAGCCAGATGCAGTGGCATTTGTTGATTTGTCTGTCCTTATCATCTTTATTATTTCATTCTTTATAAATGGTAACTTAAGTAGACAACTTCATTTTTTTCTGCATTTTAAATGTGCAAATTTATGCTTCCTAGGCAAATAATCAGGAGAGATCTTTTGGATAGTATAATTTTCCAGATACGTAATTTTTATCTTTAAAAATGCATGCAAAAATGGTTTGGAGAAAGATATTTTAAATTAGTTAGAAAGATATTTCATGGAGGAGTAAATCTGAAGTTGTAGAGAGTGGAATGAAGTTAAGAGCTGTAATGATTAGAGATTCATGACCAAACGGAATGAATACTCTTTTTTAAAAACCTGCAGCACCCTCTTGTGGCAGGTACATTATTTACTACAAAACAAACTTCTATTTGTATGCATTTTGAATTTTGTATTTCTTAACTATGACATGCAGCAAATAAATTCCCCATTCCTCAGGCCATAATTATTTCTTAAATACTTGTGGGAAAATATTTCATGGCTGCAGTATCCCCGTACATAGGCTGAAAATGACTACATTTTTTGCATAGGATCTCACCATTCTTGAGCATACAGGTAGTCCCCACTTAACAACCACAATTGGGCCTGGCAACTCCATTGCTTAAGTGTCGTTAGGTGAAACATCACATGATCACGCTGCTCTTGTGACATCACTTTTACTTCCATAGTTAAGCAAATCACCACAGTCATTAAAGAGGCATCAGTGACTGCCACTTCTTTTTGACTTTTTGTTTTTCAGAAGCCAGTTGTGAAGCGCACATATAGCAATCATGTGACTGCAGGATGCTGCAACAGTTGTAACTGTATCTTCAGCTGTTGTAGTGAACCAATAGCTAGCATTATTTTAGCAGTGACAATTACTGATTGCAACCTACAAGAAAAATTAAAAAAAACTGATTTATTCTAGGTAGACAGCAGCATGTTCTTTGGCAAAGCCATTCTCTCTCATTTCTTTCTTTCTTGAAAGTGATATGAGAAGACTTACCTTCTGCTCTGCGATGGTATTCTACATATGGAGTGTGTGCAAGGGTACTTCAAATTTCTTTTCGAAAGTGTAAAGTGCATTTAAACCTGATGACAGAAGAGTTGAAGGGGATTTAAAGCTAATTTTTAAGCTAAACTGCCAGATAATGGTAAGAACATAGAAGAGAAATAAAGTTTGGAATGTTTTTAGTAGATATGTGTTTCTTTGCATTTAACAGATTCTTACTAATCCTAATTATCATTTCGTCGATAACACCTTGTATAAAGATGTTATTTTAGTGGCTTGGGATCCTGCTCCTTATTCTTCAAATCTGGATAAGGTAAGTCATCAGTTATTGTGTTGATGCCACTGTGCACTTTCTTTATTCAAAAGAAATGAGCTTCATAGTCTTCCTTAGGGCTTTTGCCAAAACTGAATCTACGAGAGAAATTGTTAAACCATTTACGGATCTATATTTAAATGTTTAAAATATTGAAAAGCAACATTGTTTTCCATATCTCATTGAAATGTATTCCTAGAGCACAAAATGACTGACGTACTGATCTGTCTGTATATAGTTGAACTTTAGCCATTTTTAAATATCTACCTTTGGGAAATTTCTGTATTTCCATTTTTTTTTATGTTTTCTGATTCATACGTGCACACATTCATGACCATTCTCTATTTATCCCACTATTTTCTTTCAAGATAAGTAGGGTTTAGAAAAGGAGTAATAGTAAGCAAAAAAGAAAGGATGAAATAGACAGCAAGAAAAAGGCAAGAAAAAGAGATACCACCATTCATTATTCTATCAAGCTTGTTTCACCCTGCTTCCTAATATGCCTTGTGTTCCCATTTCCCTTTTTTAGGATATAAATTCACCACAATTTTCTTGAACTGTCCGTTCCTTTCAGTCCATGTATTTTTCCTTCATTTATCTCTTTTTGCAATTCGGCCTTCATTCATTCTATTTGCTCAAATCTCCTCATCATACTTTTTCTGTATTAATCACCAACTCTTGTATTTATTCAGCACCAATTCGTTTTTTATTACATCTCTTCTTGTTAACCATTATCCCATTCAGGTTTCATTCAACCTTTATGTTTCTTCAGATATTCCATTTCAAACTGCCATCTCATACCTGTCTACCATCATCACATACTTAAAATATCTCCATCCATTTTCTCAGCTTCACTAAACTCTTCATCAAATTCAACTACTGTTCTTTTGCCATGCATGTAGAAATATAATTAATTAATTCCATTTGTATAACTGTCAATCACAGATTAATGACTCTAGGTGGTTAACAATGTTAGAAATATAAAAACAGAAAGAACAAAAGCAACACACATAAAATAGGGGATTTAGATATATAGCGATGCATGGGCTCAACCTTCCCACCAGAGTCCCAGGCAGAAGTCTTTAAGGCCTTATAGAGGCAGACCAATCTGATCACCAAGGGTAAAATATTCCAAAGGACAAGCACCATGAAAAAAAAAAAAGCCCCCTTTCTGAATCCTGTCAGATGAAACTCTTTAGTAGATGGAACCTGCAGCATGCCTTTTTTGTCAGATCTAATGGGAAGGTAGGCATAATTGGGGAGAGGCAAGCCCACAAATAATCTGGCTCCAGACCATGAAGGATTTTATAGGTTACAACCAGCGACTTGAATTGCACTCAAAACAAAATGGCAACCTAGATAGGTACAGGAAGGAAGAACCATAGCATTTTAAATGATATCTGGGATTTTAAAATCTAATCTGCCAGGCTTAATAAATAAAGTTTCATCTTTTTACCTTAGAGAGAGATTCATATCACACATGGTCAAATTATGCAAGTTTTACATATTGCTATAACCAATGGTGGGATTGAAATATGTGAACAACCGGTTCTCTGTGTGGATGCCGTTTCCAGAAGTCCATTCTGGGCCTGGGCAACAAAAAATTAGTTACCGGTTCTGCCGAAGTGGTGCGAACCAGCTGAATCCCACTACTGGCTATAACCAGTTCATTCATAAATCAAAATCTAGAAAAAATGTGTAGCCACATAAGTACAGAACAAATTTCGAAAATGGAGTACATATCTGGTTAGGGTAAAATATGGACAAATAATAAAGTCACATTTTAATCATTCTTATTTTTCTTGAATATTTTTCAGGGTTCCTGCAATATTCTATCATTCTAAATTCCTGAAATCTTTTATCCTTTACTACCCAAATATTCCAGATGTCTTTATAGGTAGCACCTGGTTTATGAACATTCATTCAATAACTGTTGTGACAATGTTGAGTGGGTGCCATTGCAGCACACCCACGGTCATGTGACTGCATTTGGGGGCTTGGCAACTGACTGAAACTTCCAAACGTTGCAGAGTCCTGCAGACATGTGCACAGGGAAAAACAATGGGGAAGCTGGCAGGGAAGATAACAAGTCACTCCTGCCCCTTTTTCTCCCAAGGAGCCTCTTACAGAGCACGAGATCCCAGGAATCTCATACTCCTTAGTGCATTCATGCCTGCTGTACTCTCCCAGCCGTACTCCGTAAAGACCATGTATCCAGCCATGCCATAATATCTCCTCCCCAGCTCAGCTTATTCTATACCAGCCTGCTTGCAAGCCATTTGGAACTTTCAACTTCCTGCTGACAACCTTATTGATTGTGCTTGTTGAAATCTTGCAAGAAGTCACAAGTCCAGTCACATGAAATTCTCACTTAACAACAGCATTGGCAACTGCAGGGATTGCTGTTGCTGACCAATATACTCATGTGACATCATGCTTTATGACTCCATCACTTAGCAATGGAAATCATAGCCCCATTTACCATAGTTAAGCAAGAACTACCTGAAAATGCTGCAGTTGGAATTGTATTTGCTGGAACTGTAAATGTGCAAAGTGTCATATTGGGCCCTTTTTTTTAATCTTACCCATTGGTATGATATCATTACAAAATCGAATAATGGGATGTTGCACCAATAGAGAATAAAACACTATATTTTTGCTGAACAGTACAGTCTCTAATTTTGACAGCATTTTCATAAAATCATAGAATCAAAGGGCTGGAAGGAATCTCAAAGGTCTTCTAGTCCAACCCCCTACTCAAGGCAGGAACCTTATACCATTCCAATTAAATGGTTGTCCAGTCTATTTTTTAAAATCTCCAGTAATGGAGCTCTTATTTAAATATAAATAAAAATGAATAAAAAATAAGGTAAAAGAGATTTTACCTGAATCTCTCTCTGTGTGTCTGTACATGTGTGGTGAGATAATTGTTTCCTAAGTCCTAGAGATACTGAAATTTATGTGATAATAACAGCTTCCTAACCAATCCTCCTATCAACTACTAATCTATTGCAAACAACGTTTAGAGGTTTATTTGTATTTTAGAATTACCAAGAAAGTGTGTCAAAATCTCTGCTCATTTTGCTGTCTTTTGTATCATAAAATATATCATTAAGCAAATTACATGGTTATTAACAAACCATGTGGTCATTAAGTGAATCCATTCTGAATGAATGGTTTTTTTGCTCAAAAACTGACAAAAAAATGCTAAAAGCTGACAAAAATCACAGTCACATGAATATGGGACATTACAATCTGTCATAAATTCAACCAAGTGCCCAAAATGCCATCATGTCACCCGGGGAGGCTGTGGGGCAGTTGTAATTTTGAGGATGGATTGTAAATAACTTCTGGGGTTATTCATAATTTTGAATGGTCACTAAGTGACTGATCATTAACTGAGGACTGCCTGTAAATTAATAGTGATTAAAATAGTGATGGATTTTTAAGTAAAAGATGTAGCATACTGCTTCTGCTGAGCTATAGCATGAGTGCATTTATATTTACAGAGATGACAATGTGATACTTTAGATAATTTTTGGTGTATGCTGAGCACTCTATGAAAAATTTTATTTTCAATTTTTTTTTCCCTGCTAGTGGTATAGGAATCCAGACTACAACCTGTTTACTCCATATGTACAGCACCGCAGTAAAAATCCAAACCAGCCATTCTACATTCTTCATCCAAAATTTATATGGCAGCTCTGGGATATTATTCAGGAGAACACTAAAGAGAAGATACAGCCCAACCCTCCTTCTTCAGGTTTCATTGGTAGGTATGTCTGGTGGTAGGTTTTCTCATGTGTTCTGTTGTAAATAATTATTTATATCACTTGAAATCTTGTATATCAAAATGGTAAAAATGGTAAAAAAAATTACAGAAACCGATGGAAAGCATGTTGTTCAGGAATAGGTGCCATATCAGCTGCTCTTATTTCTGAAAAAATCATTTATTATTGAAGTGTGCACCACAACTTTTATTTATGGTGGACAAGAAGCTTTTATTTGGTTTCATACAAAGATAAAATATAAAACTAATAAATAATGACTAAAGTCATAAATCATTTTACCAGGTCACAGTTCAACTCTAGATATGAAAGTATTTCAAACTCTGGCTCGCTGGCATTTGAGAATTAATACACTATTTTAACTTATGTAGCTGAAATTATAAATAAATTTGCATAAAGGTCTTTCAATGATATTCACATAAACATCAAATAATTTATGAAACATGTCACAATTCAAAGCAGATTAAAATATAGTGTCTACTTTTTAATATAACAAGGTCTTCCAGCTGCCTTTATGCCAAAGGCAGGACTTGAACTAGGCCTCCCCATTTCTAGCCAGGTGCCTTAACCACAGCACCAGACTGGCTCTCTTGCCATTCGTTGGGTCATCTTTTTACTTAATCTTAGTCTTATTTTTTCACTGTGTTCTGTGACTTACATTATCAGAGCCTGCAGATCACTAGTAGTGTGATTACCATAACATAGCAAATTGTTATTCTTCTAATTTTAAAGCCATAATAATCTTTGAATCCTGCTTCCTTCAATATGTATTCAGCATATAGGTTGATTAAATAAGAAAAGAGTATACAGCTTTATTTCACTCTTTTGTCAATGTGAAGCCAATCTGTGCTATGCTGGTACAATGGTTAGAATGCAGTATTGCAGGTTTTGAAAGATTCTGGCATTCCAATTTTTCTAAGCATATTTCAAAGTTTGACATGATCAATACAATCAAAGGCCTTTTATACGAAATAAGCACATATTGATTTATTTTTGGTATTCCTTGGGTTTTTCAATTATCCAGTAATAAGATTTCTTGTTCCTCGACTTTATTCAAACCAACTTGAACATTCGGTTTTCTCTCTTACCACACAGGGCTCCAATCTTTATTGCATCATCCTAAGCATTATTTTGTTAGCATATGAAGTTAAGGACATACAATAGCTTGCAGGCAAGTCTGCTTTCTTTGGTATTTGTATGTAGACTAAGCTATTCCAGTCTATTAGCCACTGTGTCATTTTCCAGATTGGCTGGCATAGTTTGATTAGAATCTTTATTTAGTCTTCTTTTGTTGCTTGCATATTTCTGTAAATATTCAATCAATTCCTGTAGCCTTCTAAATTGGCAATGCTAATTTGACTGTCTCCACTGTTGTTCAATATCTACTCTGAGTCAATCTTCAACTAGGCACTGGAGAACATCGATGCTGGCATCAAAGTAAATGGTGATTGGATCAACAACTTAAGATATGCTGATGATACAGTTCTGCTTACTAGTAAGCATGAAGACCTTCAGCTCCTCATCAACAGAGTCACAGAAATATCTGGGGACTTCCGGTGGATCTGCGCGCGCGATGGCGGCTACTTTGTAGCCGTCCTCCTGGGTAAGTGTTTGAATCGCTATGAACAGCGGACATCAGCTGTTCAGCGGTTCAAAAACCCCCTCCCGGGCAAAGGGGGGGATAGAGAGGTGTCTGAATAGTGGTAGAGCCTCTTATGCACCCCCAAAGTTTTTTTGGGGGGGTGAAAAGAGTGCTCCCACGGAGTTCAGACTGTCTCCGCTTCCCAGCTGCTTTTGTCCCTAGGGACAAAACAAGCCGCTGCAACCACCTCCGCAATTAAAGTTAACTGGTGAGGTTTTTTTAGAAGCGGACAGAGCTGAGTAGAGGATTTAGTTTTTGCTTTCTTGGATTTTATTTGGATTTTAAGTTTAAAGATTTATTTTTACTTTTATATTCCCTCTTTTTATTTTTTTTCCTTTGTTGAAAGGGAAAGTAAAATGGCGATCGGCAAGTCTTTCGGTGTTTTTTTTTCGGAAGGTAGAATTGCGACCGGCAGGCTTTTTGGGGTTTCTTTTTTCCCTTTCCCTTTTCCTTTTTTTTTTGTTTTTCTCTAATGATTGGAATGGAGTATTAGTATTATTATTTTTGTACTTTTTTTGGTTTGTTTTTTGTATTTTTTGTATTTTTAAAAAAATGGAATGGATTTTTTCTATTTAATTATTCTTTTTTCTTTCTCTCTTTTCTTTTTTTTGAACTCCTTTTTTTTATTATAATGATCTCCTCTTGAAGGATTTTTTTTTGATTTTATGGAGTTAACTTCTTTTTTTCCTTTGTTTAATTTTTGCAATTTCTAAGAAGGAGTAAAGATTTTTTTAAGATGGCTCCAAAGCATCCAGTAATCCCTACAGCTTCTAAAGTGGCTTCTTCTTTGGTGTCATCATCAGCGCAACAACCTAAATTAATAGCCTCATCTTCTTCTTTGCCACAGTCAACAATGGTGAAGGATTTGCAAGATATGATGGGAGATGTTATACTTCAAATTAGGGGAGAAATGAAACAGATTCTAGAGGAAAACAATAAGACTTTGAGGCAAGAGATAGTTTTGGCTTTAAAAGGAGTTGCCTCTGTTCTTGAAAAGTTGAATTCTCGTGTAGAAGAAGTAGTAGAAAAAGTGGAATTGATGGAGGAAAAATTTGAAAGTATGGAAAAAGAGATGAAAAATTTTCAAGATGAGATTCTTATGCTTCAATATAAACAAATGGAATATGCTTTAAGAATCAGAGGTTTGGGTGAGTCTGTGCAAGGAGATCTGAGAGAGATGGTTGCAAAGGACTTTGCTGTGATTTTGAATAGAGAAAAAGAGGAAATACTTAGTGAAATTGAACAGACATTTAGAGTTAACTCTGTGGTGGCAGAGCAAAAGAATTTACCAAGAGATGTGGTAATTTACTTTGGGAAAAGATCCCTGCACAATGAAATTATACAAGCTTTTTATAAGAAGAGGTTTCAAATTGCTTCACAAAATGTTATAATTTTAAAGGAGATCCCATCTAAAATTTTAAGAAGAAGAAAGGAGTTTGCTTTTTTAGCAGACGAACTTAAAAAGAGACAAATTTTGTTTAGATGGGATGTTCCGACTGGAATGGTGGTGAATTACCTGGGGATACGTTATAGTCTTAATACTGTTTCTAAAGCAAAAGACTTTTATACTTCGGTCCTGGGGGTATGCTCATCGCCACCTATCACGTTTAAAGCTTTGGAAGATAAAAAGGTAGAATTGCAATCTGAAGTGCTTACACTTATGAAAATTGGGAAATTTCAGTTTGAGGGGCCTCAACAAGTAGAGATGGAGGAGCAGAAGACAACTGGTATAACATACAATTGTAAAGAAAAGGATCAACAGAAGAAGGTCAAGGAAGTTTCACAAGTATTGGTTCCTGAATCTGCGGGAGAAGTAGGATTTATAAACTTTTTGGAGCAACCTTTAAGGGCAGAATTGCAGTGTGAAGAGCCTATATTAATTAAAAATGGGAAATTTCAGTTTGAGGGGCCTCAACAAGTCGAGATGAAAGAGCAGAGGATAACTTGTGCAACATATAAACGTAAAGAGAAAGACCAACAGAAGAAGGAGGTTAAGGAAGCCTCACAAGTATGGTTCCTGAGTTTGTGGGAGAACCAGGACTTACAAATTTTTGGGAGCTACCTTTAAGGGCAGATTTTAAAGTACTTCTTTCGAGATTTATGGACAAGAGAGACTGATAAGGATTGTGTTTACAGTGGATGGAACTGGCTATTGGAGAGAAGATTATGGAGATCGAATGAAAATTTTAGATAAAAAGTTTAAGTTTAACTACTTAGTTTAAGTATTTAGAAGACTATTGAGATTGCGGGAGAATTAAGATTTACAAACTTTTTGGAATTACCTTTAAGAGGTTTATGGATAAGAGAAGGAATGTGTTTACTGTGGAGGAATTTGTTATTGGTAAAGATTTAAACAGGTATAAGGGAATTTTAATGTTTTAAGTTATGTTTATGGGATCTACTATTATTATTATTTTTAAGAGAAGCTAATTTGTTTAATTAAACGTATTTAGATTTGTTTAGGATTTATATGCTTTTTAAGTTTTTTCTTTTCTTGATAGGAGAGAAGATTATGGAGATTGAATGAAAATTTTAGATAAGAAGTTTAAATATAAGTATTTAGTTTAACTATTCAAAAGAGTATCCAGTCTTAATGGTATAATGAATGTTTATATGCTTATTTTTGTGCTCTAGAGTAAAGAAAGAGGGAGATTAGATCTTATATTGTAGGTATGGATATTTAAAGAAAGTAATGTTTAAATTTGTGTTTTGGGGATTCTATATAGAATGATGGATAATAATATAAGTACAATACTAGAAAATGTTTAAAGTATATTATAATGTGTGTTTAATGTTTGCAACTATTATGTTTTAGAGAAGATAATTTGTTTAATTTAAGGTATTTAGATTTGTTTAGGATTTATATGTGTTTTAAGTTTTTTTCTATTTTTTATTTTCTTTGAAAATTTTAATTAAGCCTGTACTCAGCTCTGGGAAGGTTGGGGGAGGGAATGGGAGGTTTGGGGAAGATGGGGGAGAGTATGGGAGGGTGGGGGTTTGGGGAAGGGATTTGTTTTGTAAAATTTAAAAACTTTCAATAAAAAGAAAGGAAATATCTGAAAAATATGGCTTGAAGCTTAACACCTTAAAAACCAAGATCATGGTCGTCAGCAAACAACCCGTTAATTTATCACCAATAAATTCAGAAGAAATACCACTAGAAAAAGTTGAAAGGATCACACATCTCAGTTCCAATTTACATGAAAGCTGGGACATGACCATTGAAGTAAAGACAAGGATAGAAAAAGCTCAAACAGCATTCTTCAAAATGAAAAAGGTCTTCTGCAGTCATGACATAAGCCTAAGACTGAAAATCAGGCTTGTCAGATGCTATATTTTTTC